CTACTTCCAGGATCTCTGCCACAAGTTTGATCCAGAGATAGCCAGCAGCATATACAGTGTTGTGGTGAAAAGGCACTATGCAGCACACATAAGGATGCACATCAGCAAATTGCTTAAAAACTAACTTGATGACTCCAGTACATAAGAAATAAACAATTTCTCATCACAACAGGATGAACATAAAATTATCTGAAGCTACAATTACTACCACTGTGATGTCTCCATTTTGTCATCCAATCCAGAAGCCATGCCCTGGAACAGCACAGCATATGGCACAGTTATGTACTATGCAAGGCAGAGGCAAGGCTCAGAGTAACCTCCCTGTAGCAGTCATTGTCACCTATCACAGGTAGAGCTGGGGACACAAGAACCTGAAAGCTGCACTCACCCTGACCAACGCCCACACGAAATAAATCCCACCCTCCAAAGTGAAGGAGCCGAATTTTTTTTCCTTGCTTTAGCTCAGTAACTTGAGCAGGGAGCAGGCTTAGTCTTGTTGGAAGCACAGATACAGACAGAGAACACATCTCCTGAGACACCAATGAAGTTCAGCTCATAGACATCAGTAACTACTGCATAGGCCCACAATTAATAACAAAACCAGATGGGGAGAGCATTCACAGCAGCCCAGCTTCTCCCACCTCAGCATAAGAGCTCAGCAAGACACATGAGCCTGAGTAACCTTTTGGCTGGTATCTAGTGGGATTTAATGAAGCACAGGCTGCAATAAAGAAGCCATAAAGGCTTTTATTCAAACAACCTAATTAACAAAGACTAATTGTGGATTTTTCTCTTTATAACTTGTGTTCCTTCTCTCCTCCAAGCAACCCTTGTGTTCTCTTTAAGATTCCTTGCAGGCAAGAAACAGCACACCTGCAAACTCACTTAAGGGATGTATGCACCAAGTAGCCAACCTCTAAGTGTATCTACTCTAACAGTGCAACCAGAGCGCTGGCAGGGGCAGAATTTGGTCTCTAACCAATAAGCAGATTCTCTGAAGCTTGCAGAAAATTCACATTGCTTGTAAATACAGGCAATTTATAAGTTACAAAAGGAAAGATGGCAGACAGAATAATTTGTTTTGTTAAGTAGCCGGGCATGGAAAAAGGTTTTAATCCTGATTACTGATGACAGCTTCCCACTAACATAATAGTTCAACAGGTGTGTTCTTCCCCTCCACTCTTACACATCACATACTGACCTTGCATCTATCAGCTGCTCAATAATCTCCGAAGTGCTTTTTGCTTCAGACTTGTCTTCCATAACCTCTGCAGCAACCTCCGGGATAAACGTGGGATCTTCGTGAATGCCAAGCGAACGCATGAGTGAGAAGTTGTTCAGCCTGAAAGAAAGAGCCACTGCTGGAGTTTGCAAGCTCTACCATGACTAATTTCTCACACTGTTCAGAGGGAAACTTACCCAAGAACATTTTGTCTCAGCGGTCTGCTCTCCCAGCAGGAAGTTGCAACAGTTACATGACAATCTCTAACACCTTCTCTAAAGGCAGCACCAAATGCATTCTGCTTGCTTAACAAAGCCTCCTACCTCTTGACATGAGGCCAGTCAGCCTCCATAAACCCAAGCTGGGGAAAAAATGGTGAAAGCTTTTCATTCACTTGAATTAGATATATCACCCACAGACCAATACAGAGAGGAACGGAGAGGAAAAGGAAAGGAGAAAGTACTAGAAATCATACACTCAAGGAGTAATCCTATTAAAACAAGCACTTCATCAGACTTTTCCATGACTTGTCTCAACATAGTTCGTTTGCAATCAAATAAAACAGGGATTGCAGCAAAAGCCCAGGGCTTACAAGATGTAATGAGGCAAGGAAATCAAGACCCTGTCAGAGATGTTAAGGAATGATCTGCTGTATGACAAATGATGCTTGCCTGATACACTGAAGAAGCCCATGCCCCAAGGGGTACCCATTGTATTTAATACATTTCTCAGTGTCCTGGGATCTGCACAGATGCTCCCTCAAATGATGGGCAAACTATGTGAGCCCGGCATGAGCCTGAGGTTCCTGACACATCTTATATTGGCTCCTAGTGCAATGTACATTTGAAAGAACAGTTCCCAAACAAAAGTATCAGTGAGAGAGAAAAGAATAATATCATATAGTTAATATATTTTTTAAAAATATAAAATACTAAAACCTCTGAACTTCAAGTATTGCCACATTTCCTCACTACTACTACTCTTTTACCACTACTGGTGATAAACACAGCAAATTCACACATCCACAAGCTGTGAAGGAAACACTGCTCTTCAGCCAAAGAACAGAAAGGCAAAGAGGAATATGGCAAATTCAGTTTCTGTGCACCCGCCTGAGTGTGAAAAATGGTTATTTTTTTCTGATAGAGACCCACTCAAACCAGAATAGCTGAAAAAAATAACGAAGTAAACAACATCTGTAACAATCTTGCTCATTCTCCAATCAAGTTATGCAGCTTTCCTCCTAGAAAAGGTTATTTCTGATAGCTTGTAAGTGGTGTGCAAGGCAAGCATCGTAAAAAAAAAAAGAAAAAAAAAAGAAAAAAAGAAAAAAAGAAACTTGGGAGGGAAAAAAACTCCCCACTCTTACCTTATTAAGAACGGCAGTAAAAAGATCTGTCCAAAAGCCTAGAAGAAAGAAGAAACATTGGTTTGCAGTAACTTTCACCTAAACATCTTCCTCACTAGACAGGAATGCTGAATGTGCTCACTATTGCTGCAGTCTCAGATCACATTAGAGAGCATGCAACGTTACACAGTAAAAAAATAGCACAAACACTTGTATTTCAGGCCACAACACTGGCCCAAAATGCTTGTCCTCCAGCTCTCATATTTATATGAAGAATATATTTTTCTGGCTCTCCTGCCTTTATCCTTCCCTGATTCAGCCCAGAAAGCCTGCAAACACTACTGAGAGACATCTACACAGCTCCCGTGCATTAGTTTCTACATGGTCTGCAGGTTATGCAGACACTGGATAAGGTAGAAGCCTATTATTATTTTATCTCACTGTTAGGATCTTTCCTGTTGCTCACCCACCTCCTGCAGTAAACTGAACCAATTTGGAAAAGCATGAGAGACTTAGAGACTTCATGGCAGCAGACAGCTGAAAACACCCTTTGAATACCCTGCTTCCCAGTGTCCCAAAATGCAGCTTGTCTTAATAGCACCACAACAGACTTCCAAAACATGTTATACAAACACAGCAGGAGTCTGAAGCAACGCTGAGACTCCTGGATCCATAAAGCGATACGTTGCCTCACACGTTGCACAAGAACTACAGTCTCTTTTTCGCAGCACATTTACCCTAACCTGCAACTCATCTAAGGCAGCACAATCCTGTAGGAGGCTGAGAACCTTGCGGGCTCACCCCCCTCCAAGGGGAATGTCAGGAAAGGAAACCAGGCCAGTGCCACCCACCAGGAGCAGCCACAAGGTTCTCTGGTTATCCCATCCTGGAAGAAAGCCGCTCGCCAGAGGTTCTCACAGAATAAAGGCACATCCCTGGCTCTCACCCCAGGCCCCGCCAGCCGCCAAGCTCTGCAACCAGTCGCACTGCCGAAGTGAGACCTTCACCCCTCCCCTTGACACTGGGCTCAGCAGGCAAGGCCCCGCAG